GTTTCCGATGATCTAAATTTTGAAAAATCCAAATAAGAACACTTTGCAACAGAGGCACATGAAGTCGATGACACATTTGAAATTTTTCGTTTTTTTTTATGTATATTTCTTTTATGTGTTTTTGATTAATTTAAATCTAAACAACTTAGATAAAAATAAAATTAAAGAACCTTTAAAATAACAAATAAAATTAGACCTTTGTGAAGTCCAATAATCCTGTAATTAAACAAAATATCAAAGTTTTATCATGTGAAATACTAAATCTGGTTAAAAATATTAAAAACCTTTAAGGTACATCATACCTATTTTCAAAATACACAACCAGTGGTATTTTAAATGCAGTGTTAGCTATTTTTTAAAATTTTAAACAAGGTTGCTTTTTAATAAAAAAAATACATTGCGCCTTGTAATTTCGGAGTAGAAAATTACAAAATATTATTTTGCAATTACGTCGTTTCTTTTTATTAATAGTTCTCAGTTATTTTAACTGTTAGCTATTTTTTTTAATGTCGATTTTTGTGAGAAGCCATTTTATATAAACTTGGGTAAAACTTTTGTAAAGAAATTCAGAAAGGAAAAAAAAAAATCATTTGGAATGAAAAGAAGTTTTGTTTCGAGCGAGAAAGTTACAAGCTAACCAGGCATGGATTTAAGTACGAAATTAATGAATATGTTTGACACGTATGATGTAACTTCGAACGCTAACGTTTTGATACAACGAACGAAAATAATTGGTAAAATGCAGTATGTAAAGTTAGAATTACCTTTTCCAATACTTCTTAAAGAACCTATTTATTTAGTGTATGATGCTTTGAACGTTGATGATAAGCAAGATGAAGAAGAAATCGAGCATGTTTTTTTAGCAGCATTCTCTGTGGAAGCTTATACTGCATACGAACTTTTTGTAAAACAATAACTAAATATTGCAGAGAAAGTTGATCCGGTTTTTGCCGACTTGAAACAGTTAGCTTACCAAGCTAAATTTTCAGAAGAGTCTATTATTCAATTAGCGTTTGTCGTTGGATTGTCCGAGGATTTATCATTAAGATTTCGAGCCGTTATGGATCCAATTGATGTTATGTTACTCAAAGTAAGAGCTGCTTTGAACTGTGTTTGCGTAGATAATACCGTTGGTGCTGTGCTTCAAAATCAAGCTACAAAGGTTCCGTTAGTGTGTTACAACTGCAGAGGGTTGAATCATATCACAAAAAACTATTAAATTGCAATAAACCTGGCTCCGAAGAATATCTTTTAATGTTTTAAATGTGGAAATGAAGGACACATGACTGCAAAAAAAAAAGACGGCAGGAAAACGAGTGCAGTAGCGATTAATTCGAAAAGAAAAGTAGTTTTGTGTTGAGCAATGATTTATTTTTCTTTCATTCATCTTTACAAAAGTTTTACACAAAAATCGACACTAAAAAAAAAAATTAGTTAACAAACAACTAAGACATTAAAAAAACCGTTTATAATTAATGAAGAACTATTAATAAAAAGAAACCACGTAATTGCTATAGAATATTCTAAAACTTTCTACACCAAAATTAAACTTCTCCTTGATCCTTAAGGATCTTACAAGAAGTAACCTTCGTATTTTTGGGACATGCACCGTTCTCGAGTACTTCGTGGCAAGGACACTTCTGTTTCTTGAAATCCACTTTGATCATTTATCTCAATTTCACTATTTTTTGAAAAAAATCCTAATAGACATCTGCAGTTAAACATCTGATCATCATTAAAATGCTTTGCGGATTTCAAAACAATAATTTTTGTCATAAACTTTACCAAAAAAATCTTAAATTCAAATCTTAAAAAACTTACTAGAGTTTTTGTAAGTACAAGAAGTTACGTACTAAACCTTGTTTAGTACAACAAGTTTGCCAAATTTTTGTTTAATAGCATTTGTGAAGCAGTCAGTGTATATACATAGGGTACTCAATAAAGACACTTTATCATTTATGTACTCGATAAGAGTTATTTATAGAGTTATCTACAAGAGTATTTTACTATATAAAAAGTTTATCTTTTTCCCTCCAAATGCAACTTTGATTACCTTACTCATGAATCAAGCCATAACTTTGTTTGTCTTTTAAAAAATGACACACCTAAAATGAACCAAGTAATAAAAAAACCATTAAACTTGATCAACAATCATATAATGGTTATGAAGATATCGATTTTAACATTATAACCCTGAAGTTTTTTTTTTAATTTTTTTTTTTATCATTTAGGTGCTTCAAGAAGTCCTAACGGTCTTGTCACAGAGCACCGCGGAAGTGCATTTAACCAGAAAGTTCACAACTCTTTCCTTACCATGACGCAAAATATGTCCATAGCTCGTTTCGAACCTGGATCTCCTGCTTATAAAGCAAGCGCTCTAATCACTGCGCCACGGCCGTACTACCAATCAACAAGGCCAAGCATTTACATTAAGAAATTATGGCAGATGCAAAAAAATTTGATGAGAAAAAAGAAAACACCTTCGACTTGACTGTGGGCAATGGCAGTTCTTATTTGCTAAGTGGAATCGACGCAGGGCGGCCGAAAGCCGTCACGCCGCCTGGGACAGAAACCCTGATTGGCGCCCTTATTTATCAAAATTTCCTTATATTATAGATGAAGGACTTTTTCATTTTTAAGTATCTCCTTTTCATTTGGCGCCCCTTGAATATCTGTCACCGGGGACAAACTGTCTCTTTCGCCCCCCCCTCCTTCTCGACGGCCCTGCATCGACATTCTGCAAACCTCGTTGATACAAAATTTTAAATAAAATCAACTCTTGTAAATCAGTTTAACTTTGCTAATTTGGTAGTTTTTTCAAAGTTCATTGAAAAGTTTGTATATGAAGATTTTTGATGAAGTTCTTTAAGTATAATCTTATTTTGCAATAGTGTGTTGTGATTGAAATATATGCAGTTAGCGCTCTAGAAGTTTATATAATGCACTTACGATATTGTAAACAATTTAACACAACGTAATAATAAACACTTTTAAAACAACATCAATAAAAAACGATTAGAAAATAATTTTACGTTTAATTTAACGTCGATTAAAAGTTATTTGTAAAAGAAAAAAAATCTTATCAAGCAACAAATTTGAAAATACATGGTGACGTGTTAGATGACGCGAACTGACATCATTATTTGAAAATTTTACTCGTAAGTTACTCATGATCACTTTTTTCATTTTTTTATCCTTTTCTAACTTACTGTACGTTAGAGTGAACGGATTTCCAACTGAAAAAGCCACCTCGCAAACTGTAGGTTTTAGCTTCCGCATTCAAATAGGAAATTATTATAAACTTGACATGCAGCAAAATGTATTTCCTTTAATTTTCATACAAATTTTGAAAATAGATTTTTAACATTATCGGTTGCAAAAAATTGAAGAATTTTCTATGAAATCAAGAACACAATTAAATGTTTAGTGAAATTAAGAACAAAAGCAATACGATTAAGCATGATTTAAAAACTGAATAAAAAAAAAATATTGTTTTCAAAATAATAAATAAATGCCTTTTCTAGCTCTCAGTGTTAAATACCAACTCAATAATACATGTTGTTATTATTTTATATGTTTTTATTAATCTTTTTTTGTGTTTATTTATTTTATCATTATTGAAATATTAGCATTAGAAACTTTATTAAGATTTACGCTAAGATGGTATTTCTCCAGCAAAAGTATTTAACGTGCTTAAAATTGAAGTTAATTGAGGAAATTAATTAGGTTACGATCGATTATTTATATGTTGATTGTTTGTATCTCAATTGTTTGAATCTTGATTATTTATATCTTAATTGTTTGTATCTATTCTATTCATTGGAAACAACAAAAAAATCACGAAAAGATAATCCATGATAATTTATAAGTAAAAAAAAAAATTAACTCAAGCTCAATTTCCCTTTCCACTCCTTGGGAAATTTGTTCAATTGATAGGGAATTCCTTTTTTTATAAACCGACAAACTTATTTTTATTACTAGACTGTTGTTGTGTTTAAAAAAATAAACCAACTCTCGAAAAGCATTCAAATCTTATAATATTTATAATTCGATCTTCTTTGAATTAAATAAATTTTTAATTAAATGATAATAACTTTCTAAGTTTTGTACTCATAAAACTATGAATAAATTATATTATGTAAACATGAGGAAAAGATGCAAATATCTTGTTGTTAGACATTATACATGCTACAAATATTGCACAATAAAAATAATGCTATATTAATAACACTATTTTATGCATATACAAATAAATAAACATATATGTATATATATATATATATATATATATATATATATATATATATATATATATATATATATATATATATATATATATATATATATTTGTATGAATATCAAATACAATATAATATAGTATGATATAATGTAAACAGCAATGCGTCAAAGCGTAAATGATATAAAACATTACTGCAGATCTCCACAGCTTGCTGCTCTGTAAGATGGAAAAAGATTATGTATGATGGAGATTATGTATGATCTGATTAAACGAAAGATCTAAATAAAAAATAAGGATTATCACACGACCATCTCAAGCTTAGACTATCGTAGAAAGAAGGAAAAAAATTCTTCTTTTTAATTTGTGTTAACATGTGAAAATTTGAGTAATATAATATATGTTAGCAGTTTGAATAAAAAAGCGGCGTCGAATACCTTAACACAATATAAACAATTCTACCGACAATTCAAGTATTGTGATTGTCATTAGGAGATTCTTTTTTCGCCTAATAATTGTTATTGATAATAGCATTATTATTTATAATGGCATTGTTATAACGCAATGTAACTTTATTGTTGCTTCTACTGTTATTTTTTGAAAAAGTTTCTTCATATGTCTTTCATAATTAAATAAATTAAATTTACTATTATTTAAATGTTTATTTTAAATATGCTATTAATTACTGTTGTTTTATAAATTGCAAAACGTATTTTGTAACATGACAGTTTAAGTGTATCAATTTAGGAATCAATGTATCTTCCGAGCAAGGAATCGATGTATCATCCGAACACCAATATAATTGTATGATGTCAAGCTTAATCATCGCTATGTGTATATAATCTTACATAATCGATATCTAAAATAGAATTTTTTTTAATTATGATAACATCTCCTATTTTATGTGTTTAACGACAAGTTTATTATCTGCATTGTACTAAATGTCATCGCGATTACTTCAAGGTAAATATTTTTTCGTGAAAACATTTTTTTTAAAAGTGCAAGCGGCTCAGTAATCTATTTTCTTTCATAATATTATTTTCATTGAAGAAACGTGTGAAAACGGAGAACTTGATTGGTTCGGAATTTCGGTTATGTAAACAAAATTTTAAAAAATCAATAAGTATTATATATAAAATACAGAAGATTGAAATAAATTCAATTAAAATAAGTTCTTAAATTCGAAACTATAACATAAACAAACTACAAATTTAATTGTTTTATCAATTTTTTTTAAATATTTATCTTTAAAGTACAATTTTAAATTTATATATATATATATATATATATATATATATATATATATATATATATATATATATATATATATACATACACATATGCATACACACACATACACACACACACACACACACACACACACACACACACACACACACACACACACACACACATATATATATATATACACTATATTATTGATTAGAAATGTAATAATATTAGCGTGCCATTCCATAGATGCATGACATGACATTAATTAAACATGCTAAAATAAGTTTTTTGAAGGCAAGTTACTGTTTTAAGCATATAATTTTTATCACCGTTAAATTATTAAATATATGAAAGAACAGTAGGAGGTGACCAATTATTGCTTATAGCATTAAATAAATAAAAACAACTTTTTTCTGCATTATGTCACCATAGTAAATGCGGCCTTTTGCAGTTTTAATAAAGTACTGGAATTGCAAATATTTGCTAAATTACAGTAATTTTTTTATTTAGCTTTTAAAAATTAATCAAATAGAACTTTAACTGTTTGTTGTACTTATGTGTCTGCGGGTTTGATACATCTTAATAAAAGTGTTCATGTTTTAATGACTGAAATTTTTATTTCTTATTTTAGAGTACTAGTGATTTATACACCTTAAAATTTTATAAAAATATATTTAATGTAAAGGATATTCGGTCAATGGTTTGCTTTTGAAAAGATTAAAAAGAAAATCGTTTTTAATTTGAAAAGCGTAATAGAACAAAATGCCTGTTGTTTCTGTTATAAAAAGAAAAAATCTTCCGTAAATTCTTTTTATTAATTTTGTTTGAAAGCAAAAGATGGCACCGTGTGGAACTAAATGTATAATGACCAAATAAACTAGTTGATTCCCGTTTCAAAAAACTAAAAATGAGTTTAAATGTTTCTCACTGGATACGAAATTATGACGAGATATGCAACGAAAAGTTTGCTAAACTTGACATAATCGACAACGCAATTGTACGTACAAACACGTTTAAGTTAAAACATTCTACAAAGCAACGATACACGAAGAGTACGTTTAAATTGTCAGAATAGATTAGACGCACAGTAGGGTTAATTATTTGGTATTAAGATTACATTTTTCATTTGCATGCGTTGATGAAATAATAATTATAATGGTATTAATAAAGCAGTACTTAGTTGTCATTGGTTAATTACTTTTTTGAAAGATGTTTTTATCTGTAGTGATAATAGAATGAAAACTCCTTATCGTAAGAATAAATTAAACCACAAATGTCAAATAATATGACTGGAGATGTTAGGCTTTGGTACAATAGTGCAAACCTTAAAAGCACACAAACAAAATAAGCTGTGTTTTAAATGTTTGATTAAGTAAGAAGTTGACAAAAAAGCGCAACTTTTAATGTTTGCCATAGAATATAATGGACTCAAAATGTCGAACCGAATCGGAAACAATATTTTGAACGATAAAAATGTTTTAAAAGGAAAAAATGTTACGGAAAGTTTTTTAAAAGTTTTCTTAGAGCTGATTTTTTAAATTATTTTATTTGTTTTTTATTTGTAGTTTGTAATGTTTGTGATTTTTTTTTTGTTTCTTTTAACTATTTAATTTATAAAGGTTATTAATAATTCAATATATAATATTTGTCAATAAATTATCAGTTATATATATTTAAACACAAATTAATTTGTGGCATATTTTTTTTTTCCCCGGCTATATCTCAGTAAATTGTTAACTAAGTTTTTGAATAACTTATGATTATTGATTTGTATTAATTAATGAGGTTTTTTTCCTCTTGTTTTTAGTATTTCTTAGCAATATTTAGTAAACTAATATGGGAAATAATGAGGATGAGTTTACTTGGAAAAAAACAGAATATAAATTAAAGTTTGTAATAGATAATCCGAATTTCGTTTTACCCCAAGTCGTTCGCGTAATTCAAGGTTATATGGTTGATGAAGACGATGCTTTAGCTAGCGGACAAATATTAATACTACACGGTAAAAAACAAACTGTCAAAGTTTTTGGAAAAGACGAAAACGGAAAATGTGTAAATATTCCTTTAAATTGCCCATACGAAGTAAAACTAATTTCACTTGGCGAACGTTCTCCGTACACTTGCATTGGTGATATATGTAAAAAAGAAAAAATTCCACCTTTACTAAAAACTAATCAAGATATAACACTACCCGACGGAACGCATATTGCTTCTAATTCACTTATTGAAACTAAAAATAAAGTTTTTTCAGAATCTGAAGATTTGATTGGTCTTTTATGTAGTGCGGAGGATGATGCAAAATCTTTTATATTGCCATCTTCTTTAAAAGGATTGTTTATAGAGTGTATTTCAAAAGACACATCCTCAAAAAGTTTTTTGTTATCTGAAGTTATTAAAGAATACGGTTTACCTATCGAAATTCAGTTTACTCCTGTTTCAGATAAAAATTGCAGCTACGGTCCCCATCTTGGTCCATTAAAACTTGATGAAAAAAATATATATAGTTCCGTTTACGCTACATCAGTTATTGATGGTGTTAGGTATGCCATGACTTTTTCTGCAGAACTTCCTGTTACCGTTCAGGTATCAACAGGTGTAAATGAAATGCGTGCTTATGCATCTAAAAATAAAATTAATTTAACAAAGTTTGATTACGATGAAACTGATCCATATTCTTTATTTACTATAAAAAATCAAGTTAGTGATGAAGCCAAGTACACACCAAGAACGCGTAGGCAAAATAGTACAATCAGCATAAAAACTTATAGAAGTTGCCCTGCTCAAATAACTGGACAAACTCAAAAAGCCGTATCTGATACATCTGGAAAACGAAACAAAGGAACTGAACTTAGTAAAGATTTTGAAAAACTAGTCAAAGCTAAATTTGGATTTAACAAGTTAAGACGTTCAATGTCAAGGTTTCGCGATAAAAATCCTGTTAAACAAACCGTTTCTCAAAGGAGTAACAGTATAGATTTTGATAACAGATCCTCATCAATGACTAGTGAAGATGGTAGTTCTAGTACAGGAGACTACTCAGTTGACGTGACATCTACAGGAAGCGGAAGCATCAATGGTTCATTTCAACATATTATTGAATGTATGGACGCACTTTCCACAAATCACCACATGAGTAGAACGCCATCAATAAATAGACATTCTAGAAAAAGCAGTAGTGATTCTGGAATCTGTGTACGTGCCAGAAAACAACAAAACTCTTACAACAAATCTAACTATAATAATCAGGACAGATGTGACTCGGACAACATTTCTCAATGGAGCATTAAATCACAGACTAAAAATGTTCCAACTGCAGCATACCTTTGGTCATCAGATGGCGATGATCAAAATAATAACAGTAAAGTATCTGAAGTTGAACATAGTTCTGAAAAACATTTTATACTGAAAAATACACATGAAATTAATGCTCCGATAGAAAGTTCCCCTCTGACTACGACACGCGTTGCCAGCATGGAAGAGATTCGAAGCCTAAGCGAAGAAGGTGTAATGTTTGTTTTAGATACTTTAAAACTTTCTGAATTTAAAGATACATTTCGTAAAAATCAAATCAATGGCGAACTGTTACTCTGTTTAGACCAAGATGAACTCGTAAGCGAGTTAAAACTCTCTTTATTTCAAGCAAAAAAGTTAATAAATTACGTTAAGGGATGGAGACCGCAATGCGAAAACCTAGAACCCAGTGAAATATCACGAAGAATTAGCTTAAATCCAAAAATATGGTCAGAAAACGATGTTTACACTCATTTAAAAACAATAAATCTTGCCGATCTTGGTGACTTTTTGCGTTTAAACCAGGTTAACGGTGAACTGTTACTTAACATTCTCGACAAAGATACTTTATTATCTTTGCAAAACGATCACGCCATAAAAATATCTAGCTTAGAATCAAAAAAACTATTAAACTTCGTTGTTAATGGATGGAGACCTGACAGTTTGCAAAAAAAGACAGCGAAATTAGTTTAATTAAAGTTGGTTTTATTATTTAAAAATAAATTTGTATTGTTAAAGAGTGATTTAAGTATAATTTTTTATTTAAAACATTTGTTGGTAATCTTTTAAGTTTATAGATTTTTATAAACTGATTAGATTTATACCGGTTGGCTAATTTATTTATAAATTGAATGGATGCTTTATTGTTTTATTTGCTAATTTATCGGCTGATTGGCTGATCTTTTGTTAATTGGATTAGCGAATTTATTGACTAAAATTTAAAATATATTTTTAATACGTTGACAAATATGTTATACAAGTAATATATTTTATCAACTTATAAAGATTTCATAATGTTCTCTTTCAAAAACTAAACAATTTTGTATATTAAGTAAATAATGCTTGTCATTAAAGGCCTGATTAGTAAAACAAAACAAAAAAAAAACATCATTTTAAATTACAAAAAACTTGTCTTAAAAAAGAAAATAGAAACATAAAAATAAATTACGCAACAGTTTTTGTCATCGCATTTAAAAAATTTTAGAACGATGCCAGTAAAGATAATTAAATTAATTCCAGCATAAGCAATTAAAAATTGGTTGGTACAATTTATTTTTAAAAATTAAACAACTAAAATATATAAGTATATTATATACACTTAAATTGGAACTATCATTATATACTTGTCTGGTCACAGCTAAACTTTTGATAGAAGTATGTGGTTTCTCACATGAATAGAATAATGTTGTAGATATATTTTTATAAATTTATTATACGTTGAAAGAAATAGTTTTTAACTGCTTATATTATGGGCACCTGTAATTAAAACTATTCTTGGAACTAATTCCGAAAACTTTCGGATTAATAATTTTTAAAATGCAATAACTTTAATGCACAGTTAAACACAAGCAATCACAGACATACACAAGCACAATCAAGAAAGCAGAATAGTATAAGTGATATTATAGTAATTACGCAAATTTAGACAGATGCCCAAAGGAAATGTATAATTGTAAAGGTGGAGGAGTTAGCGTAAATTATTACTTCGAAATCATAAAGTATAAATTATATTCTACCTAATCATTAGATCTAAGTTACTACTTAGTTACCAGATCTAAGTTTCAAAAATAAATTTAGACTTATACTATATGCAACCATGTTAAATAAAATTTTCACAAAAAGATATTTAAAAGTGTTTAATAACTATACGCGCAGTAGAGTACTTCGACTGAATTAAGTAAGGATACACGTAGCGGAGTATGGATACATCGCCTATAGGTTTTGGTTTGGACAGATAGTCCATTTAATTAATTATTTTATTTCAGAATAGTTTTTTATGACATTTAAAAAAAAAATTTAATTAATTAGACTGTCTACTCAAGTCAAAACCCTAAGTCATTGTATGCATAATTTTGGGATGCATACATATTTATAGAGTTATGAACAACCTTTATATAGAGTTCACTACTATAACAAGCCTGGTCACTAGAGAAAATATACTTCCCCATCGTTCAAAAGACGTTCTGAGCGTCTTTTGAATGTTCAAAAGACATCTTTTTAGGACCAAATGCCTGCTGGGCAGTATCACTAAGTAACTCACAAGTAACAAGAAATAGAATTCTCTGATTGTTGTGTAACATAAAGCAAAAGTCAATTTTTTTTGGTTCCAAAAAAATGTGGATTCTTCATTTGATACTGACTTTCATTCGCTTGTCTGCTCTTTGAATGTAGCGTTCGAGTTAAAAAACCATGCAGTTATGATTAATTATTCCTATGAGTCAATCATGTAGGTATTTTTAAGAGTCAGTTCCGTTTAAGGTTCGAGGTAAAAGGCAAGTATTCGTAGGAGTCCACCCCCATGCGTTTTTTAAAGTCCTTACTTTGTCAGTGATTCATAAAAGTGTAATGACCAAACAAATTTTCCAGTCTTCTGATTAACAAGACACTGTTATCCACGTTAATTTCCGTTTTCAAAAAAATTTGTCGGAAACAAAAAATATTAAAGCTGCTCAAAAAATAAACGAGATTATAATTGTAGACATTTAATGTCTACAGTCATAATCTCGTTTATTCTTTTGAGTACCTATATTATTTTTGGCTCTTTCATCTGCAATTGTTGCTTGGAGAGAAACAAGAAACATATTTCTTGTTTTAAGAAACAAATTTCCTACCCCATAATTTAATTCCTATATTATTTTTGGTTCTTTCATCTGCAATTGTTGCTTGGAGAGAAACAAGAAACATATTTTTTTGTTTTTAGAAACAAATTTCCTACCCCATAATTTTTTTCTTAAAACAAGAAATACATTTCTTGTTTTAAGAAAAAAAAAAATTCCTACACCGCAATTTTTTCTTAAAATAAAGAATATATATCTTATTTAAAGACAAAAATTACATACCCCGCATTTTTTTTTTAAAACAAGAAATATTTTTTGTTTTAAGAAAAAAATTCCAAACCCGTAATTTATTTCTTAAAATAAGAAATCTATTTCTTGTTTTAAAAAAAAAAATGGTCAAAGGATTTGCGAATTTGTTGTGTACAGGGACAATTTAAACAATTTATTCAAAACTTAAATGCGTTAAAATTGCCGGTGAAAAATGAAATTCAACAAATAATAAAAAAAAAAAGTTCAAACTATTTTATTTTTTTAATTAAAAATCACTAAATAAATATTATTTTTGATGTTTGTGATTGTATCTATTTATGTTAAAACAGCACCTGAAATAACTCTTCAATCCTTTGATTTTATTACTGATTAAGAAAAGAAAATCTCATTGTTTTGATCACGGAAAATTTGGACTATTTTGTTATATCATTGCAATTAATGCTTCCAATACCGGTAGTACCGCTACCGGAATACCGATATTACCGGACTCTTTTAAATACCGGCATTGGTTTGGTTTAATACCAGTTTTAAAAATATATGTAGAGGGCTTGTGATAAAGCGGGCGCGATCTCTCTATTTACGTGAAACAGGAAAGTAAATAAAATATTTAAAACTTCGCTCGTTCATCTTGTAATGAGAGTATAAAATCACGCTCGCTAAAGAGTTTGGGATATTGAAAATAATAAGTTGTTTAGTTGATTTGTTATAAAAAAATTATTGTTAAAAAAAATTTAGTTAAAGAAAAAACTTGTTTAGTTTAAAAGTAAAATTTAGCATTTATTAAAAATATTATTACTACTTCACTAGCTTTAATGTAGAACACTTGTTCGAGCTTTGCACTAACGTAAGGGATAAAAAGTTTGAAGTTGCAGCTGATTTCTATAATGGAATTTTTACCATTTTAACCAAGCGCGCGTTGAAACGGAAACGCACTATGAATTGAATATAGAGCTAATTCACACGCTATGTTAATTGAAAATTACTAAAAGAAAATTAAAACTTGAGAATATTTTTAAATTTGTAAAAACGTCAAGATGATACGTTTTGTACAAAAAGCCGTCAACTTCTGAAAAAAAAACTTTAAAGTAATCTGCAATTACAACAATAGCTATGAAGGTGGCGAGGATAGAAATACCTACGATGACACAAACAAAACCAATGATGATGAAGACTTTTCCGGTGTAATGAGTGAAAAGAATGACTCTATTGAACTGACTGATGATTTGCAACCGTTAATCAATATGGTGCGCACCGATGTGAAAATGTTTCGTCATTCTCCGACAGAAAATGATCAAACCCTTCAAACTTAGTAATGCTTAGTAATACTTGACTCCAAAACTCGCTTGTGTAGCTTGCACACAATGCTCAAACGTTGACAAATTGCATTTGCAAGTCACTGATCAACCTTGACTCCAAAGTTGAGGTAACTGATAAGAAGCTCAATACAATTTTAGCTTTTATTTGATGTCTTTAGCCAGTAAAATTGGCTGTGGAAGCATTGTGTTGAAATAATGCAACACTTTTGTCAACCGATACTAATGTTAGTGATAGATAACCTTCGACAAGTTAATTTAGCTGTAAAGTTAAAGGCTATGTTGATGCCATAATTTAATGAGTGACGTACATCTGCACAAGGGCCATCAATGTTACATGAATTTGGATCCAGCGCTCTTTTAAGCATCTTAGCAAATCAGCCATTGGAAATACAATTGCTCGACTAAACGATCGGCTTAATCAGAAAGCGTATAATCCTCTACCTTCTACCAAAGTTTCTTCTGAATGCAACTTTGTTGAAAAACTTTGTAAACTTGCCATTAAAAGAAATGCTTGACTTTGCAATTTAGAAGAAATGTAGCAACACGGGAAGGTTAAATGTTTTGAATAATTTATCCAAAATTATATGTAATGAGATAGCAATTTTCTAAGAAAAAGGAAATTGTGGCATATATTTGCAAAGTTCCTACAAATACTTGAAAACTGTGAAGCCAACAAGTGTCGAATTGGAGCGTGGATTTTTAGCACGTGGCAACATTGTCACAAAATTACGATCTCTTGAGGATGATACTCTGAACGCCCTATGTTTCTTACGGGTTTGTTTTACATAGTAAAAAAAAACTAAAAAATATATAAAATAAATTAGCTTATTGAATCCATTGAATTTTTACTGATGACTTGAGATTTTATTCATACTATGGCAAATTAAAAAAAAAATTTAATACCGGTATTATGCCAGTATTACCGGTATTGAAATTATTTAGTACCGAAATAACGGTATTGAAAAATAGTATCGGTATTGGAAGCACTAACTGCAAAACCATGCTTCCAGCAACTTTTAAGATATGTTTATGTTATTAATCATTGCTACAGTAAAATCAGCAGTATAGTTTAACCCCCTGGAGCAATCTGTATTGTGCTTAACCCTCGGAGCAATCTATATTGTGTTTATAATTTAAAAACTAAAAACTTTATTTTCATTTGAATGCGGTGAATGTTTCCCATGTTGAGAAGCATAGTATTTCCTATCTTCTTACTGACTTTTCTCTATGCATAGGCTGTCTGGATAGCTTTCATATCATTGTAAGAAGCCAGAAATCCTAAAAAACATTTCAAAACTCATGGAACATAGCAAATTGCATTGAACAAACTTGTATCCTTCAACTGCAGCACTTCTTTTTTTGTAAAGATATTACTGATACCTTTGGTCATATAAAGAGGTCAGGATGTAGATTGATCTGCTAAAAACCTTGCTTCATGGCAAACGCCAGTTTAATAGAACTTAAAATTTTGTACTTCCACTCCATTGAAGAAG